TGGTGGTGGAGGTGATGGTGGTGGAGATGGTGGTGGTGTTGGTGGTGGAGGTGATGGTAATGGTGGTGTTGGTGGTGGTGGAGGTGGAGACAGTCATGTGGTGATGGTGGTGGAGGCAATGGTGGTTCTTGGCCATGGACAGGGAAGACTGGGGCTACTAACTATCTGAGCTCCATCATCTCCCCCACAGTCTCAATTCCCTGGATGACAACTCTGTTGACCTGGAAAAGGACAAGGAGATAACCAAGGCAAGCTGGGGGATGAGTTGGTGCCTGGGGCTTCTTGACTTGGGGTCCTTCTCTGAAGGGGTGGGGTTTGGGACAGACCTGCTGCTGACATACGCATGTCTCCGCACCAGGCCCTAGGAAGCCCATGGCTTTGGAATGGGGCCCAATCCTTGCTCTTCACCTGGTTCACTGTGTGACTCGGGGTGGGTGACTTTCTTCTGGTTCTCAGTTTTCTCATTTGTATATGAGGATTGGAACACCAACCGTGCAGGGCTTTTTGAGGATGAGGTTAGAGCAGGTATGAAAACCACCTGGCATGAAGCAAGAGCTAAAAATTCTGGTTCCCTCTGTTTATACCCTTTGTATGAAAGCTGGCGGGGTGCGGGGAAGAAATCTGGAGGTGGATGTAATCTAGTAAAGGAGAGAAGGTAGGCTCAAATAAATAGCAGTGCCATTATTTGTTCAGTAGGTGAGATGGTTCAATGAGATCAACAGTTCACACAGCCTGGGCTGCTGATTGGAATCACATGGGGAACTCTTTAGAAATGCCAATGCAGTGTCACAGCCTGGAGATTCTGATCCAGTGGGTGGGGTGGGCCTGGGCTTGAGCGTGTTGTTAAAGCTCTTGAGGTTCTAATGTGCAGGATAGAGAACAGGGAGTAGATCAGCAGGTGGGGTGTGGGAATGTTGCACAGGGATCTGGCTCTAACATGGAGGCCTCCAAATGGTCCCCCAAAGATGGGGGTCACAGATGGTAATCCAGGCCACCAGGCAGTGCTGAAGTGAGGTGGATGGCTCATCTCTGGTTGAAGATGGTTTGGGGCCAAAACTCCAATGAACATGTCTGGGGGGAACTGAGGAAGAAGAGAACACTTGTGGGTTAGAACTTGTGGCCAGGCAGGTGGCCCCTGGTGGAGGCCAAGGCTGACCCCTAGAAGGGAGTGGAATTGGGGACTTCAGGTGGGGCTGGACCTGTGGGTTGGGAGGGGCAGGGAGCCTAAGAGATGAGTCTAGAGAGGGAGAGAGGCTGGGCCACTGAGAGCCTTCAAAAGCCAGAAAAGAGCCAAGACTGTCCTAGGATGACAGAGGGTTGTTATATTTCAGAGAAGCTGCCCAAGACTCCACCACCTCTCCTGCGTCAGTAGGTGGGCATTGGGGTCTCTGGGTGAGGAACACAGGTGGGACATTTTTCTGAGGATCTCTTGGTGCCCTGACTCACCCAAGACCTCCATAAATGTTTGTGTGGAAGGTCTGAGAGGTGATCTAATCCAACCTTCACAAGCAACCAAGGCCAGAAGGCTCTGGTTGACCTGCCTGAGGTCAGAAAGCTTGCAAGTCAAGAGCAGACCAGAACTCAGGTCTCCTGTCTCCAAGGGCAGGTTGAATTTTCCTAGGCTGCACTGCACCAATGGCTCCCACTGGTGGTCTATGGTGAGAACTCTGGGGAGCCCTGTTTAGTCCTTCCTGGGGCCCCTCAGATGTTCCACTGTTTACCAGGAACCGGAAGAGCCCATGTCTGGAAAAAGCCTGTGGAATGCCCTGGGGAGGATGGTGGCAGGGTCTCTGCCCCATAGGTGTCTCTATGTTGGCATAGCTGAGCCTGGGGGATGGTCCACAGGAGGGCGTACTTGTGAGGAGGTGTGAGTGTGTGGCAAGTTGCATGGGGAGGGGGAAGAGGAAAGGCAGGAAGATGAGTGAGTGCCATGATGAACTGCAGGTGGGACCCTGGGTGTGATGTGGCCCTTTGAGGGTGGCAGGGGGAGATGCCGAATTCAACCAGGGGCAGCAATGGACAGTCTTTAAAGCCAACAAGACCAGTGATCCAAACCCTGCTCTGCCTCTTCCAGGCCATGAGAGCCCTCCGAGTCTCAGTTTCCACATCTGTAAAGTGGGGTACAGGATCCCTGCCTTAGGGGGTTCCTGTGGGGACTTTAGGTAATGGATGGGCTGCACCCAGCATAATGCCTGCCTTGGGGTTCAGGTGGCAGGAATTGGATTGGACTGACTCCTTGGCACGGGACACAGAGCCCGGTATTATTCAGGACTGGGAAGAACACCAAAGTCCTACTGTGTCCGTGGATCAGGGCAAAGGCCAGAGTAGACCATCCCCCTCAGGTCCACCCCTTCACCTGTTCACCTGAGCCCATCTGCACCATTAGTGGCCATGGTCACCTCTGGGACACAGCCAAGAAACTGAGGCCCCAGGAAGAGTAGGTGGGACCCCAGTTAAGGAGCCATCTGTCATGGGCTTGAAGACTCCCTTAAGGACCAGGGAAATCACCCCATCCCTGCCCTTCACACCTTCCCTCCTTCTCCCCACAGAAGGGACCCCTACACAGTCCGATGGAGCTAGATACGGAGCCTCTGGGTGTGGTGCTGTCAGGAAGGAAGATGGGCAGAGGTGGACAGCAGGAGCTGTCCTTCACCAATGCTGGCCTGGACACCACAGACCTGTGATGTCCCTGCCACAGGACCCTTGCTGCAGAGCCCCACACGGGCCGCCACTCTTCTGGTCTACCCCGGAAGAGGTCTTGTCACCCCAAACCACACCTACCCCTCTGTGAACACAACAATATATCATGCTACTCTGCCCCCTTCTGCTTGTAGCTAATCACACCTGACAAGAACTGGGGGAAAATTTTATTACCAAGGTATATTGTGACAGTTTGTAGCCAAAAACTGTGGCTGGGGGGGGTGGGGACAGGGGTATTGAGTGGTCACAAGGGACTCGTGGGGCTCACAGCACACGGGGACGAGGGGTGAAGAGGGCAGCCTTTAAAGGACAGCTGTGGTTGTAGAGTGAGCTCTCCGTCCTGCCCCCAAAAAACAAGACCAGCTGTCAGGCTGCCTGCGACCCAAGACTTTCCATTGGCTCCTGACTGATTCCCAGACCTGTCTGAGACTCTCTTTCCAACTGCGCCCCCACGGCATTCCTGCAGCTGCCTTCCCCCTGTCAGGAATTGTGAACAGTGTCCAGTGAGGGTGGATAGGGCTGGGGGCTGGGCCAGATGAGGGGGAGATAGGAGTTGGGGACGACTACCAGCATGCAAGACATGCCCGGGCCATGGGGGCCAGCCCACCGCATGGACACACACCACTCTTCCGGGGGCCCCATATTTGAAGCCTTGCACACTCAGGGGTCTCACACACCAATCCTTGCACACTTGGAGCTTTTGTACACAATCTCTCCCGTTCTGGGGACCAGGCAGCCACTGAAGACTTCAGCCTACCAGCCTGGACATCTCAGGAGCCTGCCTCAGCTCTCAGGGCCGGGCCTGCTGAGCAGATCCCCAAGGTAACCCAGTGTGACAGGGAAGGAGTGGAGCTGAGAGCTGGAAGGGGACGGG